TTCTAATCCTGACAATGTGACGCAGTTATCTAAAACCAATCAATAACTTTTATGCGAGTCAAACTCAGAAGTTCACAGAGAGGCCTGCGGTTTAAATCCCGGCTGTCTAGTGGTCTGCTCACCCCTCCTTCCTCCTTACAAGGGCTTTGTGGTTTTCCTGAACAAATGACTTCAACACGAAGTCTGATCTGATGCGGAGTAAGTCTTTTTTTCCCTTCTGCTGCATTTAGGGGCCGTACTTAAAGGAAAAACCTCTTCAAACAAACAACCGTTTCAGTTGGAGCACTTTTTGTTTGAAAGTCAAACAACAGAAAAAAGCAGTCACATGTCAGTGTTTATTCTGATTTTACACTTACAAAAATGTCATTTAATAAAAAGTAGCTGCTTTACACAATAAAAACAAGATAGAAAACATCGTGTTCACCATCAAAAAATGAATTACATTTTGTTTTTTTTTCAAGAATAAAGGCACATGTTGCTCGTTTGCAGACCCCTACTGTATTTACAGGAGAGAGGATTTGAAATGTGTGGTTTTTCTATTTCTTACTTGTTTAACATCTACTTTTTGTGTATGTACACGGCCACTATGACAAACGCACACAAGTGAGCACGCAAGCAGAGAGCTCGAATTCCCCTGCCTACCCGTTCATTCCTCAGATCTTTTCCTTTCAGTCGTTGAAAATGTTCCCCCCCTTTTATTTATGTATACATAGCAATTGTAAAAAGAAACGTCAAGTTAAACATCTTAAATACAGTAATTTAAGCAGGAAAAAAAAAGTGTAATTACCAGTAGGCACATTTTTTTTCTACATACGTTTCACTTTTTGAAAAAATCCATCAATCAAACATGGAATAAACAGATGAAAACAGTCAGATCACCTTTAAACCAGAACACTCAATTTGAAGGTTTTTCCTTTTTCTTCTTCGCCTGTTTCTACAAATGCAAATTATTTTATTCGTCTGGATCCCACCCTGAGAGATTTACTTTAGTGTTTGAATCCAGGCTGAATCATATTTGAATACATACTCTCACACAACCACTGATACTCAGTAGTTGTGTGTTTTGAAATTATTTAAATATGTAAGAACACGCTCGCTGTTAAAATTACTTTTAAATATCAGTGGAGAAATTGTTGAAAGAAAATGGAATGACTAAATGTAAAAACTATTTGAAACCAGTGCACATACATAAAATAAAAATAAAAATGACCCTTTGGGCAGTGTGTTGTGGAGGTGGAGTACCGTAACTTCCAGACCACAAGTCACTACTTTTTTTTTTTAACATAGAGGCTTTAACAATGATGCGGATCATTTATGAACTTTAACGGACTAACGGACGTCAAGATGCCAAAATAGTCTTGCCATGTCATTATAGACCAATGAGATGACCGAATAGGTCACAATGAAACTCAATTCAATCAAAGGCACTCGCACAATATTCTTCAAATCAGTCACACCCCCATCATGGAAAACACACCAGTTTTTAGACGTAGAAGTGTGTTTTACAAATATATTTACTCTTTTTTTCTGTTAACATTAGTGGGTGCTGGCTATATTCAGGTGCGCTCAATAGTCTGAAAATTACGGTCATGTATTCTACTGATACCACTCTTACATGAGGACATATTCTTAGAAATGTAACATATACTTTTAGAATAGAACAAAAATACACTGGAGAATAAAATCAATTAATAAAATGTGCCCAGACCTTTCAGCTAAATTTCCTGTTAGAGCAGTATAGCTAACCTGTAAAGTTAGGGAATTAGATAACAGTGCAGCTAAATAAGCTGCAACTGGATCTGTTTTTTCTTTTGTTTAGATCCACAAATTAAACAAAATATATATATATTGTCACATAATGATGAGTGATGATATACATGGACATCACAGCTTTCTTAAACAGGCTTGAAAATTCTTTATCTGGGCAGTGAAGATCACTTTTCAAGGATGGTTTTTTGTTTCTGAACGGTTTGTTTATTAAAAAAAAGTGGCCTGAAACCAAAATTCTGCTCAAATGATCATCACAAGATCCTTAAGAACTTTTCTAAGTCTTAATATTTTATATGAACTTGAGCATAATTATCAGCAAAATATCTTCAATTCAATAATGATCACAACAAAGGAGATGAAAGCAAAGTTCTTTAAATCTTATGTTCTTCCTTTGCTTCTTGAACATGTACATCACAAATACCAAGATCCAATTTGGGGAATCTTGGCTACTAAAAAAAAATATTTTATTGCTTTATAGAGACCCCAACGTAAAGGATGCAATCGCCACTTTCTGTGTCATCACACAGACACACACAACTCTTGGTCTTTCTCCCATGTTAATCCTCAATCTCATCCACTCTTTCTCCCCTGTCCAGCGCCCTCTTCCTCCCCGAGGCCATTTCCCAAGCCGCGTTTACAGGAAGCGAGCACAATGTGTCGGCCCACAGGAGAGATAACGCAGACAGGAAGGGGCGGGCGCAGTCCCAGATGGACAGGAAGTCAAGTCCACTGTTTGGTTTAGCTGATTAAAAGGACAAAGAGAGAGGCGGTGTGCGGGGAGATACGGGGAGGCAAACAGGGCGAGTAAGACCCGAGAGTTAAGGGGAGGAACCGGCTACTTTCAGCGTATGCGCACTTATACGTGAACCCAGCAGGAAAAAACCAAGAGGGCTTCCAGCTATTGTATCCAACTCTGACATTCCAAACATGGCTAAGTTTTAAAGACACAAGTCCAAACAGAACTGAATAAACAGCAGCATGAATAAACTAAATTGTTACAAACTGGAAAGAATTTAAAGGGAAGCATCCTGATGACACACTATTGTGTTACTGTGTCTTTAGTGGGGGCCTCAGCTCTGTTTTTAATGGGCACCACTTTGCAATCTGAGTTATAAGTAGTCATTACAGACAATTAGTGACCTTTTATTCGTATGGACCTTTATGAACGACTGTTTTTAAACGGCAAAAGCCATTATTTATGACCCGGGCATTCATTCCCACAACGAGCCAAAAGGTCTGCAGTTATTATTTAAATGAGAAAAAAATGTGAGAGTGATAAATTGTCCTCGGCCGCGTGCTCTGCAGGGCCAGTACAAGGGTCAGGTAATCCACAGGGAGCCAAAGGAACGGCAACATTTGCAAAGGACAATAAAATAAAAAAAAGACGATGGTCCAAGCTGTAAATCTGATCGATCAGAATAGAAATAAATGACGACCGTCTGGATTCTGCTTTTGATTTAATGCTTGAGTTATGTTTGAAGCAATGACTCTAAATCTCGTCCTGCTTCCATTTAATCAAACACGCTCCCGTGTCTGTTTTATTTGTAAGAGTGGGACGCAACGCTCGGTATTATGACCCCACAGAAGCCAAAAAGGATGAGAGGTTAAAGTTATTAGAGTCATATCTGAACCATTGCGGCGGCCCAACTAGCTGCTTTTGCAACTTTGTGCTTCCTGAGTTGTCTGAATGACTTTTGTTTGAGTAGCCTCTGAGGATTCAGCTTTCATCACAACAATAACTGCGATGATGGGCTCTGTCAAATAAAACCTGGGAACAATCTGTTATTCAGTCTGAGCGGTAGCAGAGCCATTTCCTCTCTGCCTATTGTCTTTTTCTCTCTCCAGAGCGGGAGATAACAGAGGGGGGAAAAAAAGCACAAAATAACTCACATGGAAAATTAGTCCTCAGTCAAATCAGATGGCTGTTTTCAGGACACAAAGCAGGCAGAGGTTTTTGTATGTTCAAATCTTGAAAATGCATTAGTGCTAAATCTCAGGGACCTAAGGTTTGTCCTTATCTGAGCGTTCTCTCGGGTGCTGGTCAAACACCAAATGCTATGTCACGAAAAGACAAAAACTATAAAACATTTAAAAACCCACTGGACACCAAAGTGTGGACCTCCTGGGGCTAAACCCTCTTAGTCCTCATTTGATTTTGTTTTTCAAAAAAGGAAAACACAGTCAGGATTGAACAGCTCGAAAGCTTCAGTGCTATAATTTCAGTCAAAAAAATCTTCAGATTTCTCTGTGCGCTGTGTTCATGGAGGGTTTCAAACACCTCCATCACTTAGAGGCAAAAAGAGAATCAATAAATGGCATAAATCAAAAAGAAAGCAATAAATGGGAGGGACAATATAACTAATAAGGGGGAGCTGCAGGAGGGATTTTGCATCCCCAATGGGACAGAAATGGTGAATATCAAAATTCAGGGTTAGGGTTAGTTAGCATTAGCCAGTGTGGTTAAATGATCTCACCTGCACACGGTGAGTCTGTGATATAGGTTTTATTCACTATTAACTGGTTAAGATGGATGCTGTGGTTTCTGGCTGGCAGTGACCCAGTGAACCTATCAAGTTATCCAAGAAATTGGACGGTTGGCTGGGGCCTGCGGTGGAGAGTCACCCGTTCGCGGTGTAGGAAAAGCGAAAGGTTTGTTTTTCTCTCGTTTATCTTTTTCACACAGTCAACAACAGTCGGCCTCCCTGGCAGGACCTCCTCTGATGACGTTGTGGTCGTGCTTTACTCCTAAAACCCTTTGAGTTTGTCACCGGGAAGTGAGCGGTGTCGATAGAAAAAAAAAATAAAGAAAAGGAAAGGAAATACAACAATTCTAAAGCGCTGATTCAGCCTGTTGAAGCCTCCTGGATCTCTACTTTACGGACTGGGACGAGACGGACGACGGGCACGGCACGGGGGATGGATCCACTGGAACGACACGCGACGAGTGAAGCTAACTGCTGTCACGAGAAAAAAAACACGCAAACAAACGAGGAAGCCCCCTCGATTACGTTTTCGAGGAGCTGAAGAAAGTCTCGGTATCGGAGAGTACTGCTTGTCTGCGTGAACCGTTTGTATGTAAATGTTTATTTCCTGCATGCTTCTGGCCAGTGTGTGTGAGTGTGTTATGGCTCTTTTTTTTTTTACCTCTGACCCACAGCATTTACCCTGTCTGTGTGCGTGTGTGTGGATATGTATATGTGTGAATTTTTTTTGGCTTTCTGCGTGTGCTATCAGTAATGATGGTGGTAGTCGGATCCGTCGACCCCGTACAGCTCGGCCAGGGCCCTGAACCTGGGCCCCCATTCGTTGAGGAAGTCGTAATCCAAGTTCGATCCGTCGGAGGAGCTGTCCAGGGAGCTGAGGCTCCCGGCCAAAGACTCGGGCCCCTCGTAGCCGTAGATGTGCAGCGTGTCGTAGGGGTAGCCGTCCCTGTCGTGGTCGGCCTCGTCCTTCTTCACCTCGATCATGGCGGCCATGTCGCCCTTGCAGGCCGCGGGCGGCGGCTGCTGCGCGTGGTGGGGGGCTTTCTGCACCATGGCGTACAGAGAGGGGTGGGGGGGGTGGTCCGGGTGGCGCAGCAGCGAGCCGTCGTGGCAGGCCGACGTGAGGATGGACACGTCGTAGCTAAAAAGAGAGAAAAAAAAAACAACCTCTGAGTCACCGAATTGGGGGCCAAGGAGCTCCCCCATCACAGAGGAGGACCCAAAGCCTAAAACCCCTCATACTCTCCACATTACAGAATCAGGATTCTTCTCACCCTGGTCACAAACTCTTTGAAACTCTCCCTTCTGGCAGAAGGTTGAGGACCATCAGGACCAAAACCTCACGCCATAAAGGACAGTTTCTATCCAGCAGCAACTGGCCTCATCAACAAGGCCAGCGACCCCCACCTATTATTCTCTCACCCCCCTCTACCTCACTAATTTACCCAATGCTTTCAGCATTTTCTGGTCTGTCGTTGCAGATCAACATTGCACATTTCAATTGTTCATTTGTACATTCGGATCTATATTTTTTAAAGATTGTTCATTTGTACATTCAGATCTATATTTTTAAAGATTGTATTTTTCAGTTTTTATCATTTCTGTCCAATAATTTTATTTCTACATTTTAGTTCTTGCTTCTCATAGAAGTGTTGTGTTGTGCACCAAACACCAAGGCAAATTCCTTGTAAGTCTAAAAACCTACTTGGCAATAAATCTTATTCTGATTCTGATTCTGATTCTGAATCTGAATCAGAAATACTTTAATAATCCCAGAGGGAAATTATTTAATTATTTATCACTTCAACCTTTTTACTCTGTCAAGCAAATTATGATTGGGTGTAAAAGATGCATGTGAAATATATATTTAGGGTTTAAAAAGTGCCTGTTGAGGGTTTGGGTTTGGGTTGTTTTACTATCATAGTTTAGGAAATGACACAATAAATGCTGCCTGACAAAAAAGCACTTTGGAGAAAAAGGAAATATCAATTTTATCCATCTTGGGTTTAGATTATTATTAGAGGTGATCACAAATTCTCCCTTTAAGTCATTTCTGACTACTTGCAGGGGAAGATATTCATTATGGATAGCCACTGCGAAGGGGACATTAATAAAAGAGGAACGGCATTCAGAAGCCCAGAACGTTGAGGGGAAAATGTGACACGCTCATTTGAAAAAGGAAAGTGTCTTTTTTTTAGGGTCAAAAATCCCCAAATCAAAACAGAAGAAAAACAGCTTGGGGCTACGTACCCGTTGGTGTCCATCTCTCCCCCCCCCTCCTCATCGTAGGTGACCAGCTGCTCGTGGATCTCTCCGCTGTTCTTCATATTGGCCAGAGAGTCCTTCTGGTAGCGTTTCCTCATCACGAAGAGGATGACTATGACTGTTGAGAGGACAGACGGAAGAATTTTTTTATCAGGACTAACAGAAGGTTTTTTTCCTTAATTTAAAGGGAACACAAAAACCTAATCTGGGGAAGAAGTAACAAAGTGATGTGATAATAATGATGAAGCATTTATGCAGGATGTGAAGCTCAAATCCTTGTGAGACACGTTTCATCCTCTGAAGAAACAACTAGTCACTGGTTTAACTGGAATATATCTACAGGGAAAAACCCAGGAATGTCTGTGGAGCATCAAAGATTTCTAAATCTCTACAGATAATTAGAAAAACCTAAACCAGAAACTGGGCCGGGCAAAAAAAAAAAAAAGTGGGTGAAGTAGAGCACTGACAATAGAACCCTGCTATAAAAAAAACAACTAGAAACAAAACAGTGCTACGATAATGGGATTTCAAACTATTTACCTCAGTCTAGAAAAACCTCAAAGGACCCTCGGCAGAGATATTCTGCCAAAGAAAGACGAGAGTGCTGAGCGCAAGAAACAGGAAGGAGGACTTGGTAAACACGAGGAGGGAAGTGGAAATGAGTCTGAGAAACAAGGAGAGAGGAACGACGAAGAGGGAGAGTCCAGGCAGCTGATGAAGATGTAAACAGCCCCAGAGCAAGAAAGGGGGTGACCAGAGGTGAAACGGAGGAAAGGAAGCAAGAAAAAAATGGGGGAACTCTAAAAAAACAAACAAAAGTCTATGTCAAAGTAGCTTTTAAAAGCCTTTAAAATAGGATAAGGTTCTTTTTTGCACATATACAGGACTGTCTCAGAAAATTAGAATATGGTGATAAAGTTCTTTATTTTCTGTAATGCAATTAAATGCAAATAAATTAAAGCCTTTTATTGTTTTAATATCGCTGATTATGGCTTACAGCTTAAGAAACCCAAATATCCTATCTCAAAATATTAGAATATTGGATTTTTGAGTTTTCTTCAGCTGTACGCCATAATCAGCTATATTAAAACAATAAAAGGATTGCGATATTTCAGTTGATTTGTAATGAATCCAGAATGTATGACATTACATGATTTGTAATTGCATTAGAACTTGCATTAGTAAAGAACTTTATCACTATATTCTAATTTTTCTGAGACAGTCCTGTATGTATGAAAACAGCAACGAGATTAAAAGGTTTGTCTTGTTTTTTTATGATGAGATTTGGGCAGAAAACCATGACAAATGTTATGAAGGACTTGACTGAAGAGGCACAAAGGCTGTTGGCTTTCAAATCCCGTGTCAAAACGTGAAAAAACAACCTCGAGTGGAAAATAAAATGATCATCTTAAATGCATCCAAAGTTCAGAGAATATGAATGAACTAAAGAAAATACCAATGACAGTTTTCCTGTAATCCTGGAATCTGATCAGGCTGTAAGGCGTTATCATTCTTTGCACAGAGGGGAAAAATCCCCGTGTGCTTGTAAAAAAAAAAGAAAAAAATCCTAATTCTCTTGAGGGTGGGGGGGTCCAAACGGTCAACATCCGCTGAGTCCATTTGTGTTCCCACCTGTGCCTAAACAGCCAGGCTTTTTCCCCCCCTTTGTAACATTTCAGGCTAGTTTTAACACCTCCACCAAACAAAAAAAAATGTTTCGAGACAAACTTTCTTGCCTGTGCTCTTTCGTTGAGGACGAGGAAGCGGGAAAGGGGAAGAGAGTGAAAAACAAAAGGATCGGGGGAAACAAACGAGGCGAGCAGCTGGCTGACGGAGGGCGGGAGGAAGTGGGAGAAACGGGAGACTTAGGGGTGAGGAAATCAAGAGCGAGGTCAGAAGAGGAAGAGAAGAAAAGAGAAGAAAAGAGAAGGAGAGGAGGAAGGATCCGTTCGGCTTCAGATAAGGCCCCGAGCACGGGTCCAGATATGAAGCTGTTTCTCTCTCGGCGGACGGGCAGCATTAGCCATGCCTTTTAGTCGAGGGCGAGCGGGACTAATTTAAGTTTGCATGGGAAACCAACAGATTAATCTTTTACAACACATGCTCTGCAGTTTAATAAGCTCTGGAGATATCAGACTTAGAGGGACCAGAGGAGAGAAAAAAAAAATCTTTGTTGAAGATGACTGAGAAAAAGTCGTTTCTTGCGTCAAACCTGACTCCATGTGAGAAAAAAACTGTGCCTGTGAATGGGGAGCGTGGTAAATTGCTTTGGGCCCTGACAGATAATGACAAGTGCATTAAATAGTTAATCTACCCTGCTTTGGGGGTGTTTGATAAAGACAAAGAGAGATAGAAAAAGGGGAAGGGTGGTAGGCAAAGAAAGAGACAGAGAGACCCAGAGGGAAAAAAAAGGGAGAGGAAGAGAGAGATGAAGGAAAAAATAAAAAGGGAAAAGGCACGATAGTGAAGAAGTGTATTAATAGTTAATAGGTTGAGTGTTTGGTGGTGTTTGATAAGCAGACGGCACCTAAAGAGCTGATAAACTCTCCTCATTACCACTGCTATTCTTCTTCTGCCGCTTTTCCCACAATTCTCCTCTCCAGCCACGTCTTTCTTTTAACCTCTTTCTGTCTCTCCGTCACTCAATTGTTCTCGCTCCACGTCAAATCTCGGTCCCACTCTGCTCGTTCTCCTCCAGTTCCAGCCTTTTCCACGTCGCGTTTCGGCCTAGATAAACGCTTTATCGGACCCACTCCTCCTCTCCTTTCCCTCGCCAGATCTCTTCTGTTTGGCCAACTGTCTCCAGCGTGTGTCTCCCTTTTTTCCCCAGAAAAAAAAGGGGAGCAGGGGGCGAAGGTATCAAAGAGAATATTGAGCTCACGACCACAGGCATTATTTCCACATCCGCCGCTGCATTATTCATAAAACCAACAGCACCGGGAGGGAAGAAGTTCCCCCCCCCCAAAAAAAACAAAAAATCTTATTTATTGCAATGCAAGGGCAAGTGGAAGTGTGCTCGTGCACTAATCACTCAGAAGCAGCTTTTTTGCATGTAGCACTGGATACAGCTTGCCAAAGAAAAAAGGAACAGCATGTAAATAGCTCACACTTTTACTCTGTGTACTCAGAAATGTCACAAATGCATAATTGTTCTCATATGCTGTCTGAGTCGGTGTGAAAGTCCTGAAATAGCAAGCCTTTGCACTTTGTTTTCCACCTTGATTTGTATTCAGATTTAATTACAATTTAACATAATCTGTGTTAAAAAAACAACAACATATATATATAGTATGTTATCGGATCATTTGTTGTGTGTTCATTTGTTCTATAGCCCAACAAAGTAATCCCATGAAAATGGCTGTCAGACAAAAATCCCGATTGTTATTCTCATTAAACAGCAACTTAAAACAAACAGAAAGACGTGTTAGTTGCTTTAGTGGTTTCATTCATTAATTTTTCAGCTTTCAGAGAAGCTGGGCTCAGATGTGAGCTCTTCTGCATGTAAAAGAATATTCAAAATGAAATGTTTCCTCTGTATTCTTTACTCTTCAATCCAACACTAGCTCTAGTCAGTAGATGTAGCCAGTTTATATCAATTGCTCAGCTTAGGAAACCCTTTCAAACACATAAATCACATACTGAAGACTTCCAAGACTGAAGACTTAGATGGAAAAGAATAGAACCGTTACAGTGGTTTTTAAGGATAAAAACATGTTCCCTAATCCCCTGTCAGTCGACATGGAAACGGTTGTAAATTTTTAGCCTCTAACTGTCCAATTTGAGGGCACATATTCAGAGACTGGATGTAATTTGAAGTTGTGACATAGAACGGAGCAAAAGAGCAATCTCACATCTTTCCACTTCAACACCTGCAGATTTTTTTTTTTCCCATTTTGAGACGGGCAAAGTGACATCACTTAGGGGGATTCGTCAGATTCTGTGCAGCTCCCTGTGGAACCACAAAAGGCTTTTTCACTTATGCAGTAACACTTGTTAAAAAAAAAAAAAACGATTTTATAGAACTGGAAACAGGTGGGATTCCCCTTAAAGTCACTCTTAAGGATATAAAACTTTTTTCATGAAAAGGAAAGTTTGTTTCTTTGGTAACTTCAAAAAGGAGCCAGAGATAAAGGTCAGCCCTCTTGTTGATGGAGAACCCATTCTGGCCACAGCGAGGTGCAGAAAGCATCACATTTTATGACTAAAAAGACGAAAATGCAGCGGAAAAGTGCAGATAAAAACCAACTCACCCAGTATGGTGAGGATGCACAGCAGGATGGCCACCAGGGCGTGGACGCTGACCCCCGTCCTGCGGGCCCCGGCCTTGCACTGGATGGGAACCCGCCGGGCGTCACAGCGGCAGGACTACGGCAGGCAGCGGGGGACAAAACGGGTCAATCGGCTGTAGTTGCGAGGTTTGTTTATATTTGAATGTGCAAAAGAGAAAGAGTCAGATAAAGTCTAGATGTGTTTCAGTTATTGGTGTGAAACTGTGGAATGAATTGAATGATGAATTTAAATTTATGTCCTTTCTTGGTGAACTTTAAAAGAGCTTTAAAATGTAAAATGATAAAAATCTTACGCTGTTATGTAGATCTGTATATGTACTATGTACTTAAATCTGAATTTGAAGAAATCCTGGTAGGTTGTAAAGTTGTAAGGTAAAAAAATAGGGTAGGCAAGAATAAGCTTTGCTTCGGCCTATTCCCTTTTTTGGTAAACTGTGGGTTTGTCTATTGTTTTTTCTTTTTTTCTTTTGTTGTTTCTTGTGTTTAATGTGGACAAGTTACCAAAATAAAGTGATTGATTGATTGATTGATTGATAATTGCATTCTGACAGACGGGTGTAAGGGCTCCAGACCTTGATGGCCAGCGTGGTGACGCTGGTCAGCACGGGCTGCCCGCCATCGCCGATGAGCACGTCCAGGCTGTAGTCGTTGGGGTCGTCCAGGCTGAACGGGCCCCGTTTCACCATCACGGCCGCTGTGCTGTCTGAAATGAAGCATATTAACACACCAAGTTAGCTTTAAACACAACCAACCTCGCTTACAAATCTCCCTCTAATAATCCGACGTTGTATTGATCCAGGAGGTGAGAAACAGATGAGACCAGACAAAGAGGATTGATCATTTTTTTAATAATTTGTTCCAGGGGACTATTAAATACTGAGTCCTTTGCTAATGAAAAAGCACAAGCCTGACCAACAATAAAGTAATCAGTCAAATTCCTGGCAGGCAGACGTTTTTCCGGATGAGAGGACGGGGGGGGGGGGAGAGGGACGTTTTCCTCAAAGTTTCACATGTGGAGGAATTTCCGAGAACACAATGACAGGAAAGACCCCTCTGCTCCCACAGAGGAACGGTAGCTGCTCTTTTAAGGGCAACTTTGAGCCAAAACACACGGATAATTGTCAGGATGTGGACTTGGGACCAGACGTAAATCCTATATCAGTTTTTTAAACATTTTTTTACGTATTTTTCTTCTGTTTTTTTGCACACGCTCTGCAGGTTTGGTTTCACCGACTAATTCAGCTCTGTATGTAAAAACGCTTCAATTAGATTATTGCGCGTTCAAACAAGATGACCCAATCATTTAGAAATGGCACGTTATGACTACAGTCCAGATAGCAACAGCAAATCCAGAGTAATAGATCTGCACGAGAAGCAAGCAACTGATCTTCCAGTGCTCATAATACACAAAGTTGAACTCCTTAGTCTCGCTTTCTACTCACTCGATTATGTTTTTGCTCAAATACAGCAGCTGTGGAAGTCTGAACTGTATTTTCTTTGCACACTGAGTAAGAAGCAGAGTTATAAAGTGAGGTCCAGGCTTTTATTTGCCCTATCTGAGTGGCAGAGAAACAAAATATGGCCTTAAAATATGGGTTTTTGAGCGATTCTACAAACGTGCCCATCCAAAATGGGAAGGAGGGCTGTTATTTTCGAAGGGTCTCTGGTTCTGTTTGGACACCAAATGGAAGCCTTTGCGTTTGTGGTCTTTTGGGGACCAGATCCGGTGGAATAAAAGTTTCAAGGCCCTCCAGAAACGTCCCGGCTCGTCAGGCTCCGCGTCTGCGTCCTGTGACGGAGGACGAGCGTACACAGATGAAGCCTTTACTGGCTGAATAAAAGATGAAAACGCCGTCTGTCCGCCCTTCATCTCATCCCACTCTTCTCCGTCTCCTCTCAAGCTCTTTCTTTGTTTGGTTTCATCTCTCTTCGCTGTCTCCCGGGATCTCTGATCCTCTCTGGATTTCTTTTGCTCTCTGAGTCTCATTACTGTTTTTTTTTCTCTCAGTGTGCTCCCTAATTTTTGCTCCCGCCTCCTCGGGTTAAGGCCACCGGGTCTGAACACTGAGTCCTGTCCCTCTACTAACTCTTAGGGTAGACGTGGTCCTTGTAATGAGGGGCTGCTTTCTGCCAGTTTAAAAAAAAAAAAAGCCAAAAGTCGGTAAATATTTTAAACGCCTTCACTTTCTAGGTCTGGTTGTGTGTGTGTGTGTGTGTGTGAGTTCGGATTAAGTGTTGTGAGGTGCTACATCATTTTTCAAGAGAAGAGAGGTTGAAACTGACAGCCAACGGTTATCAAACAACTCCCCTCTTTTTTCTTCCCACTCTATCGCTTTCATGTTGCTCTTTTCATCTTCTTCCACCTTTTTTAACCTCTCATTTAAACAGTTGACAACTATGATGTCATCCTGTCTTCTTTCTATGCTCTGTTCTCTTGCCTTTACATCTTTGTTAGTGTTTTGGCCTTATTTTCTGCCGGTTTCCTCCTTTTTTCTGTCTGTTTTTTTATTTTATTTGCCCTTTTCCTCTATCTTTTCCCGTGATTTCTCTTTATCTTGTATAACTTCTTACTTTATTCTTTCCCTATTTGTTTTTACAGTTAATCCTTCATTTTCAGTCTTCAGTCCCCTCCTTTCTGGCCATTTGGTCCTCTTTATTTCTTTTTTTCTTGTACTTCTTGCCACCTAAAATGTTTTTACTTTAAAAGAATCGCCCCCCCCCCCTTTCCTGAGTTCCTCCGTCTTGCTTCCTTTCATCTTCTCCCCTCCGTTTGCTCCATCTCGCTTTCCTTTTGCCATCCTCCGTCCTCCTCTTCCCTCTCTCCCTCAGTTCAACGTGTCAACCCCTCCAGGCAGAAGCAAAACGGAAATGGATGAGGGAAGTTCATGCTTTTTTCCCCGTCTGTTTATCTACCTTTCAGCATAGTTCAAGTTTCGCTTGAATTAAATATTAACACCTCACCTAAATCTTTCATCTGACTACCTGAGGCTTTCATCCATTCAGACTTTTAATATTTGACTACAGCAGTTGGTAACACTTTTCCGCAGGCTTTCATGTATTAAAACGACATGCAGTGATCAAAAATGATGAAAACCCTTTTACTTGCCATTTTGCGTTCCGTGCTGAACAAACCAAATAGACTTTGGGAATCTGACGTAACAGTGCACCAACCACTGACCGTGTATCAGGGTCTGATCAAAGAAACGTGTCACAGCAGAGTTTTCAACATGCATCTGTATGTTCGAATAGAAATGCTGTTAACTGTCCGTTTATATTAGATATTTATCTTTCCAATCTGCATCAAAGGCCTCTGACCTGGATACACTTTAGAAATCAGATCGTATAAAAAGCTGCCTTATATCAAAAGTGATGGAGTTTAGTACAAATTAGTGAGTCCAGATCAACTGACAGCAAATCCTGTTGATTTCCATTTGGTTTTCAGTGATAACCAACTGTTTAAACGCCGAAAACAAGCCTACCGTCAGTTCTCCTGACATCTCCTGATCGGGTTGATTTGCAAGAAAAAAAATCACATATTTTGTTATGAGTTTTATTTCCTCTAAGGCGCTCTTAATGGATGACGACTGCTGACTTTTCTATAACTCACAGCTACAGAAAGCATGTTTCTGCCTTTTTTCAGAGCTTTCTCAGAAGAAGCACCCCTTAAATCTCAAATTGAACACATCTATCTGACTTTAACAACTATAATCCATTAGGGATGATGAAAAGATATATATGTTTTTTCTGTCAAGCTGTTTATAATTTCTGCCTTATATCATTCTATTTTAAAAAGGCTCCTAAACAACAGTGTACATGACGTGTTGCCTAAAAACCATCTGAAAGGCTCAAAGCTATCCACGGCAGTCCACTGACCTGCTTGTATTCAAGACAGTCCCCGGCAGTCTCCCTAAGCCTGCTTTGAGAAGTTAAAATAACGTCAAATTTCAGCATCAGAGTGCTGTGCCTTAAATGGCGTTTCAGCCGTTGCGTAGCAACAGGTGCACAGGACAGCACGGGCTCCTCTCATCATTTAGAAAAAGGCAGGAAAAGACAGGTAAATGTATGCTCAGAGCACAAAAGGACTTACTGCCATAGTCTTTGATGGAAAAATTGGAGCTTTCTCTGGCCAGACTGAAGGTAAAGGTGGCTTCTCGGTCATCTATGTCGTGTCCTCCCAAGGTTCCTATCACCTGAAAGAAGACAGCAAATAGCATTAACTCTCATGCACAAAATAGTACAAGACTGCTGGTTTGGTTTGCATCATTGTCTTCTCCACATAAGGCAACATTTTATGTTTTTCAAGCTCAAACTCTTATTTGAATGCGTTAGAATTAGAAAATGACTGAATTTTACATTTAAAGTTGCAAGTGCATTGTTTAACTCTGATTAAGAATTTTAAAAAGAGACCATTTTTGACATTTTCAAGCCCCTGAATGACAATTACAGGAAAAAACGCTGTGGGGGTTCTTCAAAAATCCACATGTTCTTCAATCACAAACTGACAAACCAGAATCTTAACGGTTCATTAAGCAACCAGAAATGTGCAAATTGTCTTTTCCTGCCATTAAAAAAGCGCTTTCTTACTGTATTGGTGGCGTCGTTCTCACAAACGAAGATTTCATCCACAGTTAGCTCAGGCTGGTTGTCGTTGATGTCCTGAACAATGATGTTAACTTTCACAAATGACTCCAGACCTGCAAAAGGACAGACATAACCATGTTTAATCATGGTGCTCCCGGTTAATGGAGAGTGGTTGGAGGACTGATACCGAAGCTTATTTTGTTATTTGCTCATGTAGCTGTAATGAGGGTAAAAATAGTCAGAATTCTTTAATTTTTCAGCTTGTGGAGATGCGTCAAGCACAACACGCAAGAGGACAAATAACACTTGTTCCTCACTTTGCTGTAGTTCAATTGAATGTGTTTGAAAGCCGACATGGGGGAAAAACTGGTTATGATGTGGAGGCGGCGTTGTTGGGAGACAGGTATGCCATCAGGAGAAACAATCCCTGATCAGATCATTTATTAATCGCTATATTTCTCATTCTGGTTGCTCACTGCTCACTGAAATTGTTGTGATTTATTAAACTACAGGCAGATTCAATTTTCAACTCTAACAACTTAAGAATTAACTTTCTTGACGATAGACTCCATTTTTTTTTTTTTTTTTGCCAAACTTCGAAATATCTTTCAAAGCTTTTTGCTGGTGAATTTCTACTTTTCTCGGTTGAGAAGAACACGACTTGCTCGTCTTTAACCTCAACATGCAGATCTGACAGCGATTCTCCAAAATAACGACGACGTTTGTTTAACTCCGACACGGAGGGATCTGATTAAGGTCAAGTGACTGAAAAGATTTCTATTTGTGAGCTCTTTCTGTCACAGCAAAGGCACCGTTTAGATTTATTTTTCATCTCCGTGGCTTCGTCTCAATATTCAGCTTTTGATAAATGTTTCTTTGCGGTGCCTTATACTGAGGTTTTGAAACTATCTTTAGTACAGTACAAGTAGTGTATATTGAGGGACCCTGTCAAGCTCAGAGGACAATTGGGCTCCTTATACGTCGTGACAAGCCGCTAAAATAGATCTTTGGATTTTGTTC